GTGGGCGCCACCAGCAGCCCACACCCGCTGGCGGTGTTTTGCTGGTACAACTTGCAGCGAAGGTGAAGGCTTCTTGGAACCAAAGTCCGTTTGCCTGCCTCCTCGGCAACTGCTTCGCAGTCCTTAAGAGAGACCGTCATTTACACGAATCCAGGTTAAGAAGGAGGAGGAAGGACAGATCACAAGATGGTGTGAGCAGAGCAGGACACCCACACTGCAGCTGCTGCTCATCTGAACCGGCACCTCTCTTCCCGACTTCTCGTCACTGCCAACATCGGTCTGTCCCCACATCCTTCCCACTCCCCCGACGTCTTTTGCCCACTCTTTGTCCACCTCAGCACTGTCTGGACACAAAGCCTCAACAACTGCCCTTAAATGGGAGAGATCCTTGGTGCTCCGAGATCATCTAAGCGTTCATCCTCCTTGCAGAAGGCCCTGCCTGCAGCATCGCTTGCAGGTGAACCCAGTTTTTGTTACTGCCAGTTTGTGGTCTTCCTTACGGAAGATCTTTCTGTGGTCCTGTAAGTGAGGTGCTCCAATCAATCTTTAAGATGAGGGGAGAAAAATGTTAGAATTATTTTAAATGTCTCCCCTGGGATTTTATCAAAGGGGACAATTAAGTCCTTGGATTCTGAAAGTCTCTCAGAACCAATGGTTTTTTTTAAAACACATAGATGTGTTTTTAAAAAAGCAGTCTCTTTCCCTGCTGCCGCCGAATTGCGCAGAGGCGGAGGCACGGGTGCGTTTAAGATTCGGCGTCTCTGGTAATCCACCGCCGCCGTGGCCGAGGAAGGCATCGCTGCTGGAGGTGTAATGGACGTGAACACTGCCTTACAAGAGGTGCTGAAGACCGCCCTCATCCGTGACGGCCTAGCGCGTGGAATTCGCGAAGCCGCCAAAGCCTTAGACAAGCGCCAGGCCCATCTGTGTGGTTGCATCCAGCTGTGATGAGCCTATGTACACCAAGTTGGTGGAGGCCCTGTGTGCTGAACACCAAGTCAACCTAATTAAGGTTGATGACAACAAGAAACTAGGGGAATGGGTAGGCCTGTGTAAAGTCGACAGAGGGGAAACTCTGGAAAGTGGTTGGTTGCAGTTGTGTAGTAAAGGACGATGGCAAAGAATCTCAGGCCAAGGATGTCATCGAAGAGTACTTCAAATGCAAGAAATGAACAAATAAAACTTTGGCTCATATTCTTAAAAAAAAGTTCAATACTCAAATTGGCAGTAACAAATTTCACTTCTAAATAAATGTGTAATTGGGATACCACTTAAAAACTTGGTAAACAATGCTCTAGATGCCACCTTAACTGCTTACAAGTTCTTCCTTCTCACATTTATCAAATAGCCAGGTTAACCCCTTACTTCAGTTTAACCAACTCCTTTCAGAGAACTGCCACAATTCCCATCCACCCCAGTTCCAATTTTAGATTAACTCGCCAGCACTTCCAGCTTCATTTCCTACCTAATGAATGTTCACTTTGTGGTAAATCGAGCACATACTAATTGCATCCATTTCCAACCCCATTTCCGGTTCCTCATGGCATCCCTTTCCTCTTTTTTTTTTTTTTGAGTTGGAGTCTCACTCTGTTGCTCAGACTGGAGTGCAGTGGCCGCTTCCGGCCACCGCAGCCTCGACCTGCTGGGCTCCGGAGATTCTTCCGCCTCAGCCTTCCGAGTAGCTGGAACTACAGGCGCGCGCTCCCACGCCCGGCTACCTTTCCTCTTTCGAATGTGTTTCTCTGACTGCTAGGAACCAAGAGCCCAAGTGAGGTTAGCATTTGCACCTTTATCTTCACATACTTGTCTGATAATAAACTGATTGACACTGACATTTCATATTTTAAGAAAATACCCACACTCCGAGCAGCAAACACCTGTCATATATTGAGCTCACTCAGGAGCCAGAGGTGGTAATAAGTGCATTAACTTCACATGTGTGTTCTTGCCACAGTGAGCTCAAAGGGTGAAATAACTACGGCCAGAAAAATACAAGTCCATATATGCCTTTATTTTATAATTTATAAACAACTTCTAATTTATTCTTCAATAATTAATTATAATTGGTGGCTGCTTTTCTTAGATACTTCTCTTGTGTCCAAAAGAGGGGAGAATTTAGCCCTTGATTAAAAAAAAACAACAACAAAACATGCACACGAGGGGGAGGGAATGACCATAACTACAAATATTATTCTACTGTGACATTATTGCTATAAAACTTCCAAGCTGGCTGTTCTTCCTGATGCTCTCTTTGGACGGCCATGGTAGCTGTCAGTTCTATATTTACACATTTGAAATAATGTGTTTATTTTAGCTGTAGATTCTCCGGGGCTCCTGTAGAACCACTCCACCTTCTGCCATGGCATTTTCTAGTTGTTTTATCTGATTTCGAAGATCAAAAAAAAGGGAAAAGATTAAGTCAGCATCACAAGTAAGTTGAAAATGAACAGTTCACTTTCCAATAAACAGAGAAATAAACTGATTTGTTCTTGCTAGCTCCCTGGCCTACACTGACTTTTCAGAAAGTGCTCTTAACAATGATGTAGATAAGAAAAAAAGAAATGTAGAGATGTCAAGTACCAGCAGCATTTAAAAATATTATATGGATCAGATGTTAATATATGAACAGAAAGTATAGTGGCTGACATGGTAGGCTACTGAATAGTCACCTGGGTTCTGGCATTCACCATACACTGACTCTGGGCAAGTCAGCCTCAGCTTATTTTTACATAAAATGGAAATACTAGTCCCTACCCTATGGATCGTGATGATTAAATGAGGTAATGCTAACAGAGTCTCAACAAAGGGTCTGACACATGGAAAGCACTTGGTAAATGGAGACCATTATTACCAGGTTGGTGCAAACGTAATTGCAGTTTTTGCAAGTTGAAATTTGGTATTTGATATTGGAATATATCCTTAATAAATGTGGTTATATTGCCGGGCACGGTGGCTCACAGCTGTAATCCCAGCACTTTGGGAAGCGGAGCAGGAGGATTTCCTGAGCCCAGGGGTTCGAGACCAGCCTGGGCAACGCGGTGAGACCTCATCTCTGTAATAAATCAAAAAAATTAGCTGGACATGGTAAAGCGTGCCTGTAATTCTAGCTACTTATAAGTCTGAGGCAGAAGGATCACTTGAGCCCAGTGGAGTGTGCCACTGCACTCCATCCTGGGTGACAGGGTAAGACTCTGACTCAAAAAAAAAAATATGGTTATGTTACACATCATTTTAATGCACATTTCTCACTTTATGGTTTTTTTTTTTTTTTTTTTTTTTTT